AAAAAAAAAAAAACTGGTGTTATAACCCTTAGCTTACTTTTTTACCTGTCTATCATGTGTGTACCTGAAGCCTGTTTCACTGCTTATCACTCTTGTTTCTGTCTGTCTGTTTTTTTCCCCAGCTCTTGATGACTGTTTATTATGTCAATGTGCTTCTCTTTACTACTGATTGCATGGATAAACGAGGACATGATTGTTTATTTCTTTAACTCAAAAGTACACATTTGTTCTTTGTTGGCATGATAATGCCTTTTATCCAGTACATTGTGTCATTGTGTCATCATTGTTATGTACAAGTAATATTTGTCATCATTGCTAATATCAATAAGTTTTCAACATATATTTCATGATGCATGATTCATTTAGGAGCAAAATACGCCCTCATTGATCTGGGTATCTCATAGTGCACACATATTTGTTCTTTGTCTGCGTTAGTTTATCTTGTTCCAGTATGTTTTGTCATCACTGTTATGTACGAGTACTGTTTGTCATCATTAATAATATAATTGTGGTTGTCCACTGTCTTTGATACTTCCTGATATTATTTCAAAGCAAAAGAAACCTCTCTTGGTTTTTTTTTAAACTCCATCCGTACGCTCTGGGGTCATTTTGTAACCCCAGGGTTGTATTCTTCACCTTTAGACTACTTCTCTTGAGAAGATCTCTTTGAAACTTTCAGTATTTCTCCAAAAATCATTTTGACAGACTACCTCACAAAGCGTACGGTTTTGATTAACGAGTAAATTTCCTCTTTGGAAAGTGGTGGCACAGAGTTCCCCATGTCGCATGGATACGATAGTAAAACACGGCGTACGCATAGGGTTAAGTGGTGGCACAGAGTTCCCCACGCCGTATGAATACGATAGTAAAACACGACGTATGGATAGGGTTAAGTGGTGGCACAGAGTTCCCCACGTCTTATGGATACGATAATAAAACACGACGTACGGATAGGGTTAAGTGGTGGCACAGAGTTCCCCACGTCGTATGGATACGATAATAAAACACGACGTACGGATAGGGTTAAGTGGTGGCACAGAGTTCCCCACGTCGTATGGATACGATAATAAAACACGACGTACGGATAGGGTTAACACTTAAAATGCACACTTTGCTCTGTAGGCACGACTTTATCTTTTCTAGTACGTTGTGTCATCATTGTTATGTACAAGTCATGTTTGTCATCATTGTTATGTACAAGTTATGTTTGTCATCATTGTTATGTACAAGTTATGTTTGTCATCATTGTTATGTACAAGTCATGTTTGTCATCACTGTTATGTACAAGTTATGTTTGTCATCATTGTTATGTACAAGTCATGTTTCTCATCAGTGTTATGTACAAGTCATGTTTGTCATCATTGTTATGTACAAGTCATGTTTGTCATCACTGTTATGTACAAGTTATGTTTGTCATCATTGTTATGTACAAGTCATGTTTCTCATCAGTGTTATGTACAAGTCATGTTTGTCATCATTGTTATGTACAAGTCATGTTTGTCATCACTGTTATGTACAAGTCATGTTTGTCATCACTGTTATGTACAAGTCATGTTTGTCATCATTGTTATGTACAAGTCATGTTTGTCATCACTGTTATGTACAAGTCATGTTTGTCATCATTGTTATGTACAAGTCATGTTTGTCATCACTGTTATGTACAAGTCATGTTTGTCATCACTGTTATGTACAAGTCATGTTTGTCATCATTGTTATGTACAAGTCATGTTTGTCATCACTGTTATGTACAAGTTATGTTTGTCATCATTGTTATGTACAAGTCATGTTTCTCATCAGTGTTATGTACAAGTCATGTTTGTCATCATTGTTATGTACAAGTCATGTTTGTCATCACTGTTATGTACAAGTCATGTTTGTCATCACTGTTACTCAAGTCAGCCCCACTGATTTTGTGCTTTTTCTTCATATTAGTTTTAAAATTGTTTTACACATGTGTTTTTCTGGTACTGAGGCTTTGATAACTGTATCTGTACAGCCTTTCACTATTGTGATGTGTTGTCAATGATAATGTCCAATGTGTATCCTTTCTTGTACATAACAATGATGACATGTTCTGTGCACTGCGTCATTGTTACAAAGCTTGTCATTCATATTACCATTATGAATGGAGTTCATAGTGAATAAAGTCTTTGTTTACTAAACAAATGGAATTTTAAGTCTATAATTTTTTCTTGCTGCTTATCTGTTTTTGTCATCACTGTTACATACAAGAAATACAGTGGTTGCCAAACCAATAGACCCATATTTCCAAAACCCTGCATCTCCTTGCTCTGATACTTCTTGAATATGAGCACTAATGTTATGTCAGTCTGTGACTGACAGAAAAGGGAGAGTTAAGTTGGTAGGAAAACATTTTTTGCACCACCGAGTCTCAAGTGAGTCTCACGTCTTGGCAATGGCTCTTTTCACAGATCTAGGCCTAAAGTGGGTTAGGGGAATGGGTAGGCTTTACTTGCTTTTCTTGCTACTTTTTATCCGTTTTACATGAATTTCAATTTATATCAAATTATGAACTTTAGAAATATTGAATGGGTTTTCATTAGAATTACATTGTATTACACTAATATTAAGTGTGTTACAAAAAAAATAAAATAGTGATCATGCCATGCCCACATATGTGTGTTCTGCTGTGTAAAATATGACGGTTTGACTCTCAGAAACAATGTGAATCGGTGTGCAAAAGTAAAAAATCACCAGAAGTTGATTACAGGTTGAAATTTAATGAAAAATGTTATGCAGTGACTACGTTCACGGCACCGTGAATCATCCACCATTGGCACAGAATCACAACTGAAACCTTACAGTTACAGTAGCTCAAACTCAAAAGTGAATGTGAATAAGTAAACAGCACAGGAATAGCCTACTCGCGAGGAAAATAATGCAGCGGTGGTCCGAATGCAACAGAGTTTACAGAGGGCGAAGGTGAGCACAGCAAAACAGCCGCTGTCGACAAGGCCTCGCTCGCTCGGCACGCGGAACACGACTTCGACCCTCTCCCCGTATGCCGACCCGGCAACGCTCGACAATTTGAAAATAAATGTCGTTCGAAGAAACAAGGGAGAATTGAAGAAGGCTGAGGCTGGAGGGGGGGGGGGGGGGGAGGGGAGAAGAAGCAAAA